TGCGGAGTAGGTCTGTGAGCGGCTTAACGATGCGTGCGAAGTCTGGTACAAATCGTCGGTACCACGATGCAACCCCTAGGTACTGCCTTAGCTCACGGATGGTTGCAGGTGGTTCTAGGTGGGCTATGGCCGCGACCTTGTCTGGGTTTGTACCGATTCCTTGGCTTGTGACTCGATGTCCTAGGTACAGCAGCTCCTGCTTGAAGAACTGACACTTCTCAGGGTTTATTCTCAGGTTTGCCTCCTTCAGACGGCGAAACACTTCTCTGAGATTGTCCTTGTGTTCTTGCTGAGTGCGTCCGATAACGATTATGTCGTCCTGATACGCGAACGCATGAGGAGACATCTCGGGTCCAATCACTTGGTCCAAGGCCCTTTGAAATGTTGCTGATGCCGAGTGTAATCCGAATTGCATCACTCTCCATTGGAAAAGCCCCTTACCTGGCACTGTGAACGCCGTGAACTTTCTACTTGCTTCTTCTAGAGGAATTTGCCAGTATCCATCCTTTAAATCCAGGCTGCTGATATAGCGTGCTTCTCGTAATTGGTCCAGGATGTAGTTAATACGTGGCATTGGGTACGCGTCCTTCACCGATTTCGCGTTTATCTGTCGGAAGTCGACACATAATCTCCACTTGCCGGTTTTTTTTCTTAACCATTACTATGGGTGAGCTATACGGTTGATGTTCTGTAGACTTGGCCGTGGGTTGCCGTTCGAGGACTCAGCTACCTGTGTCTCAATTCGTGACTTGCTCGGTCCCGAACCTCTCGACGTAGCGATCTTGTTCACGGTTGGTTCTCACGGTGGTATATTCTTGACTTTGACTTTCACTAGACGATGTTCATTCGTAGTTTGATGCTCGATGACTGGTCCTGATTCCAGCGCTGGGCCCGTTTATATAGGCCTCCGGGTCCCGTTAATCCTCGGCCATCCCTTTTCTTCTCTCCACTCCAAGGTCCAAAGTCCACGGTTTTACCGTTTGACCTTTCGCCCTCTGCACACGGCACCACACTGAAGTCCACAGTGCAGCGCTGTACCGTTCCTTCCTTGCTCACGGCACGCCTGCGCTCTCTGGGCTCTCGCTCTGACTAGTGCCGTCTCGCTCTGGCACCTCTCTCCGCTCCGTCTCTCCCAATCTCTCCAAACTCTCTTTGGGTTCGTACTTTGTACTTTCTCTCCTCGTACTCTCCAACTGCTTTCTCCAAACTCTCTTTTCCTGCGTTGCCGTTACTACGCGAAGTAGTTGCGTAAGTAGCAACTGGCAGGTTTTTCATGCAGTTATTTTTGAGATATTTTGTGTGGAGTTATTTAACTCCTCACAGTCCATATATATCCGGCGACTACAAGCTAAATGCCAAAGGATGGACATGCCGACAGCAGTGACCGAATTTGACGTCAAAGAAGCACAGACCCTTCTTTACAAGGAAGCACAGAGGCTGGAGTTCGCGGACGAAATCCATTCATTAAGTTGTAAAAAGACAATAAGCGCAAAAAGCAGATTGACTGGCTTAAACGCATATCTGGACGACAACGGAATACTTCGCACTAAAGGTCGAGTGAATGCAATCGGATATACTATGGACGCGATAATATTGCCACCAGAGAGTCGAGTAACATTCTTATTAGTCCGTTTCTATCACGAAAAATATCACCACCTCGCTCACGAAACCGTGATAAATGATATAAAATCCCAATTTTATATTCTGCGCTTAATCCGTAAGAAAAGCCTGTCAATTATGTAAAAATCGTAGCGCAATGCCACAGCCTCTACAAATGGCCGCGGTTCCAAAAGCTAGGTTGGCAAGTTTTGAAAAACCATTCACGTGCACCGGCGTCGATTATTTTGGGCCTATCCTAGTCAACGTTGGAAGAGGCAAAGAGAAGAGATGGGTTGCGCTGTTTACCTGCTTAACCCTGCGTGCAGTCCACTTTGAGATCGATCACAGCCTCGATACAAGCTCCTGTGTGATGTGTTTCACTAATTTCATGGCACTTCGTGGGACACCAAGAGAAATTTATTCCGATAATGGCACTAATTTTAAGGCCACTGAAAAGACATTGCGAGAGGAGCTGATCAAGATCGACTTTGATAAAATCGCAATCAAGTTTGATGGCATTAAATGGCTATTTAACCCTCCAGGAGCACCCCATATGGGCGGTGCTTGGGAAAGATTAGTCCGGACTACAAAAACAGTCCTAAAAAACATCTGCCCGAATTACTCATTCAACGACGAAAGCCTGAGGTGTGCTCTAATGGAAGCACAGTTCATCATTATATCCTGTCTGCCTGTCCACATCCTTTTCCGTTGACTCCGGCTTTGTCCTGACGATTAAACGGATTTCCGCAATCCCGATCCTTTATTCGTCCACTGCTTGAGACCTGCCTGTATTTCCGTCCTCGTTCGTTTTTTGTGTCTCCTCCTGCTGCTTTAGATCGCTGATGTGCACTGTGCGTTGCTTCTTGCTTCTTTGGTGGCGAATTTTGCAGATTACGGGGGACACAAAATCGACTACCTGATATGGACCATCATATCTCGGCGCTAGTTTAGCCGCGAAGCCTTCCGCCGCTTTAGACAAATGGTGCTCCTTGGCCCAGACGACATCGCCGATTTGTGGATTCCACCGTCTCCTTCTGAGGTTGTAGTGCCTGGCTTGATCCTGTGCTGCCTTTTCCAAATTTCGTCGGACAATTTCGAAGATTTCCTTCAGTTTTTCGGCATTCCCCTCTGGTGACTCTGTGTGCCTCCCTGTGCCCAGCGTTTCTCTGTCGTACAACGCGTTTGGCAGCCGCGGTTCTCTGCCCTGCGTTAGAAATGAAGGCGAGTATCCTGTGGACTCGGATATGCTTGAGTTAACTGCTAGCATTATCTCTGGCCACTTTTCGTCCCAGTTCCTTTGGTTTTGTCCGGCAAACTGTGCGATCATGGTTTTTACGGTTCGATTCGCGCGCTCGGTGGGATTTTCTTGAGGAGTGTATGGTGCTGTGAACTGTTGTTTTATTCCCATGTCGTGAAGAAACTTCTTAAATGCCCGACTGGCAAACTGCACCCCGTTGTCTGTAATCACCACTTTTGGAACTCCAAATCGAGCGATTATCCGTTCTTTAAACGCCTTTTGCAGGGTTTCTGCTGTAGCAGTTCGTAATGGCACTAATTCTGTCCATTTTGAGAAACGGTCGATTAGAACCAATAACATTTGGTTACCGTGCTTCGATCTTGGCAGGGGTCCAACAAAATCCGCGCACACCGTTGCCCATGGTTCCTCAGGGACTTGTGTCAGCATCTTACCCGCCGCCTGACGCTGGTTTGGCTTAAATTTTAGGCACTCTTCGCATTTCTGAACGTATGCTCTCGCGTCCCTCTGCATTCCTGGCCAGTAGTATCTGGCAGCTAGACGGGCAATCGTCTTTCGGCTTCCTACATGGCCGGCGGCTGGGGCATCGTGATTTTCTTGCAGGACCTTTTCCCTTAGCTCCTTGGGGACGCACAACTTCCATGCCACCACATCCTCGTTGCCAGCTCTGTGTGGGATCTGCCTGTACAGTGTTTCGCCGTCGAACACATAGTCCGGGAATTTCTGCGGGTGTGTCTTTATCTTCTCGCGCATGTCCCTGATCCAGTTACATTCCGAATTTTGCACCAACTCTTTTGCTCTCCGGAGGGTTTCCGGCATCGGCTGTCTGGACAGCGCGTCGGCTACCACATTCAATTGACCCTTTCTGTACGCAACCTCGAAGTCGTATTGTTGTAACTCAAGGGCCCATCTGGCGATTCTTCCGGATGGGCTTTCAATGCTGTTCAGCCATTTTAGCGCCATGTGATCTGTTACCACCTTGAAGTGGTAGCCTTCCAGGTAGGGCCTTAGTTTTCTGATTGCCCACACAATGGCCAAACACTCTTTTTCCGTTGTCGAGTAGTTTTTCTCGGCTCCGTTTAACGTCCGGCTGGAGTATGAGATAACTTTCTCTCCGTCCTCCGTGTTTTGTGTCAGGATCGCGCCTATGCCGTATTCGCTGGCGTCTGTTTGCAGGATGAATGTTCTTCCAAAATCTGGACACGCTAATACTGGGTCAGACACCAGTCTCGCCTTCACCTCCTCGAATGCCTGCTGGTGGTATTGCGTCCATACCCACTTTACGCCCTTGCGGAGTAGGTCTGTGAGCGGCTTAACGATGCGTGCGAAGTCTGGTACAAATCGTCGGTACCACGATGCAACCCCTAGGTACTGCCTTAGCTCACGGATGGTTGCAGGTGGTTCTAGGTGGGCTATGGCCGCGACCTTGTCTGGGTTTGTACCGATTCCTTGGCTTGTGACTCGATGTCCTAGGTACAGCAGCTCCTGCTTGAAGAACTGACACTTCTCAGGGTTTATTCTCAGGTTTGCCTCCTTCAGACGGCGAAACACTTCTCTGAGATTGTCCTTGTGTTCTTGCTGAGTGCGTCCGATAACGATTATGTCGTCCTGATACGCGAACGCATGAGGAGACATCTCGGGTCCAATCACTTGGTCCAAGGCCCTTTGAAATGTTGCTGATGCCGAGTGTAATCCGAATTGCATCACTCTCCATTGGAAAAGCCCCTTACCTGGCACTGTGAACGCCGTGAACTTTCTACTTGCTTCTTCTAGAGGAATTTGCCAGTATCCATCCTTTAAATCCAGGCTGCTGATATAGCGTGCTTCTCGTAATTGGTCCAGGATGTAGTTAATACGTGGCATTGGGTACGCGTCCTTCACCGATTTCGCGTTTATCTGTCGGAAGTCGACACATAATCTCCACTTGCCGGTTTTTTTTCTTAACCATTACTATGGGTGAGCTATACGGGCTCTTCGAGTGTTCTATGAAACCCATTTCCAGAAGTTCATCCACCTTTGTATTGATCTCCCCTTGAACTTTAGGGTTCTTAGGGTAGTATCTTTGTTTTATAGGTTTGTCGTCCTTCATGGTGATCTGGTGCTCGGACACATTCGAAGTTCCGCTCATTGTTTGGAATTCTGCCAGCTATGCTTCTAGGAATTGCTCGATGTTTCCTTCCTCGCTGTCTTCGTGAACAACTGCCACTGACAATTTTTCCTCCAGCCATCCGTTGTGTCTGTTCCTGGCCGGTATGCGGATTTCGTGACCTGCGCACTTTATCTCAGCCCCAACCTGTGTGAGAAAATTCCAGCCCAGCACCAGTGCGTCTACTACTCCTGGTAATATCAGCAGGCTCATGGTCAGTCGTTTGTTGCCGAATGCGACTTCTACCTCGAGCTGCGCGCTTATTCCGCTGCACCTTCCGTCTGCCAACCTAACTTGCCGTCTCGTCCGTGTAATCTTTCCTAGAGCAGCCAGATTGTCCGCCAGCTCTTCGCTAATAAAGCTCGCTGTTGCCCCGGTGTCGATTGTGGCTTTGTACGAGTTTCCACCAATCGTCACCGCTGCGGACAACTGCTGCTCCTCTTCGATTAGCCTGCCAGTTAGATTGGAGAGGAATCCGCGTACGACCCCCGCTCGCCTCTCTGCGGCTGGGATCGCTGGCCATTTTCCGCTCTCTGACAGCATTCCATGCATCTCACTCCCACCTTTCCGCATATCCAGCAGAATAGCATTCGCTGGTTTCGGCAACCTCTTGCCCAATGCCCGTGTCCGCCACATTTGCGACATGCCTCCTGTGGGTTGGTTATGTATTCTTGGGTTTGGTTGCTTCCTGCTGTCGCGCTTTGTGGTCTCTGGGTAGTGTTTGGTGGTCTCCATTGGTATTGGTATGCTGCCTTTGATATTCTGTTTTCTGCGTGTTTCGCGACGTTTCGGCTGGCCTGCCTTGCCTGCTGGTATCCTCGCATCTTCTACATGTCACCGGAGGCGGGACTGTCGTCTTTGTCCTGCTGAACTTATTTTCCTGAGAGAACATTTCCCGCTCCTTTTCGAGCTCTTCGTATTCTGTGGCCAGGATCATGAGGGCTTCCAGGTCGTCGATCTTGTACGTTCTGAGGGAAATTCGTAGGTCAGGTGTGCTGTTCTCCCTTATGACCTCGAGTACTTTCCCCGGACTGTACCCGAGTGGCCTTATCATGGTCTGCATGTCCACCATGTAATCCTTGAATGGCTCTCTGAATCCCTGCTTCCGAGCTTTGACTTGGTCCTCTAGTTTCGCCAAATATCCTCTGGGCAGGAAGAACGTTTGGAAACTCTCAATAAAGTCTTCCCACGTTTTCCAGTGCTGGTTGTTCGAGATAAACCACTTTAATGCTCTGCCTTGTAGTAGTTCTGGCATTGCTCGCGGTACCATGTCTAAGTCCAACCCGTAGGTGCTCGCGGACCATTCCACCTGTTCCAAGAATTCAAGGGGTTTCTCTGTGCCCTCGAATCTAAAAGACCATTCTCTGACCTGCTTCGCGACTTTAGCGTAGTCGGGCTCGCTAGGTCTTTGTGCCTTCGGGGCTGTCTTTCTATCTTGAATTGAATCTCTTCGCTGGCCCTCTTGTTGCATCTCTTCAATGCTAAGGCCTGTCCATGCGTCTTCTCCCTCGGGGTTTGTTAATTTTAGACCTGGTTTTTCTGGGTACATAGCTTCTAGTTCGTACCAGAGTTCTTTGAGTTCTGGGTTGTTTTCCGTCCCATTGTAGTATTCCACCAAGGCTTTCCGCATTTCTTCAGTTCTACCCGTCAAGGAAATGCGTAGCCTTTGTGCCACATTGGTGAAATCCTCTTTCTTGAGGCGGTAGATCCAGCTTCTCCCCATTCTGGTGTTTTGTGTTTTTCTTACTGCCGGGACAATCACGTTTTTGGGCGCCAGATGTAACGAACTGTTTTTTTATGGTTTGCTCGCTACGAAATTCGTGCGGCTAGCTCAGTAGAATTTGTGCGTTCGTCCCACCAAATTTATATTAAACGTGACCGCCCGGTTAACAGTAACAAAACTTCAGAATTCAGTTAAGGAGGCGTTTATTTACGGCTCTGGTTGACAATATTTGAATATATCTTGCGTGGGTGATGCTCCTGCGTCGCCGCTCGGTGATTCCTCGCTGCTGATGGTCCTAGTCGCTCCGAGTACTTTCGCTGCCGCTCATAGACGAGGGCGTGGAGTTGGACCGTTGGGCTTAGGGAAGCGTCACCGTTCTCAGACTAGGGTGAACAGGCACCACGCTCGCAAGACCTTCGTCCTGCCAGCCGCAGCCTCCTGTCCCTTGCTCTGTCCCGGCCGGTCCCACTAGACGCTCACTCAGTTTCCTTTGACGCTCTGGTACTACGGCCAGATCACGTCAGCAGTCCCTATAGCCAGCGCCCAGAGAAAGACGAACGTTCCACCCTGGCCTTCCCTCCCGACTGTTGCGATCGTATCTGAGGCTTGGCTCTTGTTGCGGTCTCTGGCGGCTTGTCTGCGTCGTCGTCCTGCGCGACTGGCGCAGTTAGTCTGATCGGTATTACAGCCAATGCAGCTAACTGACCGGTATTACAGCCAACTTAGACGCACACGGTTATAATAAATTGGTATTACAGCCAATGTAGCCGGACTGATTGGTATTACAGCCGGCACAGCTAGCCTGATCGGTATTACAGCCAATGCAGCTAAACTGACCGGTATTACAGCCAACTTCGTCGGACTACTCGGTATTACAGCCAACCTTGATGTTCTGTAGACTTGGCCGTGGGTTGCCGTTCGAGGACTCAGCTACCTGTGTCTCAATTCGTGACTTGCTCGGTCCCGAACCTCTCGACGTAGCGATCTTGTTCACGGTTGGTTCTCACGGTGGTATATTCTTGACTTTGACTTTCACTAGACGATGTTCATTCGTAGTTTGATGCTCGATGACTGGTCCTGATTCCAGCGCTGGGCCCGTTTATATAGGCCTCCGGGTCCCGTTAATCCTCGGCCATCCCTTTTCTTCTCTCCACTCCAAGGTCCAAAGTCCACGGTTTTACCGTTTGACCTTTCGCCCTCTGCACACGGCACCACACTGAAGTCCACAGTGCAGCGCTGTACCGTTCCTTCCTTGCTCACGGCACGCCTGCGCTCTCTGGGCTCTCGCTCTGACTAGTGCCGTCTCGCTCTGGCACCTCTCTCCGCTCCGTCTCTCCCAATCTCTCCAAACTCTCTTTGGGTTCGTACTTTGTACTTTCTCTCCTCGTACTCTCCAACTGCTTTCTCCAAACTCTCTTTTCCTGCGTTGCCGTTACTACGCGAAGTAGTTGCGTAAGTAGCAACTGGCAGGTTTTTCATGCAGTTATTTTTGAGATATTTTGTGTGGAGTTATTTAACTCCTCACAGTCCATATATATCCGGCGACTACAAGCTAAATGCCAAAGGATGGACATGCCGACAGCAGTGACCGAATTTGACGTCAAAGAAGCACAGACCCTTCTTTACAAGGAAGCACAGAGGCTGGAGTTCGCGGACGAAATCCATTCATTAAGTTGTAAAAAGACAATAAGCGCAAAAAGCAGATTGACTGGCTTAAACGCATATCTGGACGACAACGGAATACTTCGCACTAAAGGTCGAGTGAATGCAATCGGATATACTATGGACGCGATAATATTGCCACCAGAGAGTCGAGTAACATTCTTATTAGTCCGTTTCTATCACGAAAAATATCACCACCTCGCTCACGAAACCGTGATAAATGATATAAAATCCCAATTTTATATTCTGCGCTTAATCCGTAAGAAAAGCCTGTCAATTATGTAAAAATCGTAGCGCAATGCCACAGCCTCTACAAATGGCCGCGGTTCCAAAAGCTAGGTTGGCAAGTTTTGAAAAACCATTCACGTGCACCGGCGTCGATTATTTTGGGCCTATCCTAGTCAACGTTGGAAGAGGCAAAGAGAAGAGATGGGTTGCGCTGTTTACCTGCTTAACCCTGCGTGCAGTCCACTTTGAGATCGATCACAGCCTCGATACAAGCTCCTGTGTGATGTGTTTCACTAATTTCATGGCACTTCGTGGGACACCAAGAGAAATTTATTCCGATAATGGCACTAATTTTAAGGCCACTGAAAAGACATTGCGAGAGGAGCTGATCAAGATCGACTTTGATAAAATCGCAATCAAGTTTGATGGCATTAAATGGCTATTTAACCCTCCAGGAGCACCCCATATGGGCGGTGCTTGGGAAAGATTAGTCCGGACTACAAAAACAGTCCTAAAAAACATCTGCCCGAATTACTCATTCAACGACGAAAGCCTGAGGTGTGCTCTAATGGAAGCACAGTTCATCATTAACTCACGTCCCTTAACTTTCGTCAGCCTGGACTCCGAGGACGACTCTGCGTTGACTCCGAACCACCTGCTAATGGGTTCATCGAATGGTTACAAGCCGATCAAGGAAGAGAAGATTAACCTAAGACGTCATTGGAACGAGGTAAAACTCTTTGGAGATCGCTTTTGGCAACGCTGGGTGAAGGAGTTTACACCAGTGCTCACTAGACGCGCTAAATGGTTTTAAAAGTGTCCCCCAATATCAGTTGGAAGCGTGGTCATTGTCATCGATGAAAACTTGCCTCGAAATCTATGGCTTAAAGGACGCGTGATCAACACTTTTCCTGCCAAGGACGGACAAGTTCGTCGAGCCACTATTAAAACGCAGCATGGTGTTCTCGATCGACCAGCTACGAAGATTGCGGTTCTAGATGTCGGCTTAGAAGATGGTAACTGACCACCCTAGGATCAATTACAGGAGGGGGAATGTTGCCGCCATAATTTAAATTTAATTTTGATTTCTTTTTGTTATATATAAGCACTCGATATAAACATCGAGATATATCTGTAAGGAATATCGATCTCATTTTACGTTGTTAAGAACCATCTCAAAAAATGACATAAGCGAAATAAGAGAAGGAGAAAAGACAAAGTTTTTAAGCGTGCTCCGCAACGCAAACTGTAATTCACATCGATTCGGAAGCTGAAATTTAAATAAAGTTAATTTTCAATACATAGTTTACTGCTCTCCGTCTGTGCTTTCGAGTGAGTGGTGTGGGCTGCTGTAAAAACAATTTAGTTTCGCTGTCAACATTCTTAAAAACTTTGTGCACAACCGGTTGCCGTTATAACTGTACAATTACGAAGCGACGCATTTCCAATTAGCCATAATATTGTGAAATCGCGATCGCATCCCTTTCTTGAACGTAAGGTGAGAAAAACGTAATACGTAAACGGAGCCAAAAAACCACAGAAATTACGCACACAAATACAATTCCGCCACACGCCAAGTTCACATAACCCTAAAAAGTTAATTGAGATGAGCAAAGAAGTGTGTAGAATATGCAAGAAAAAAGCGATAGGAACTGAGGAAAGCTGGGTTCAATGCGACAGTTGTGATAGTTGGTACCACTTTCAGTGCGCAGGTGTCGGCTACGACGTCGAGGATACGGATTGGATACGGAGTTGTGACCTGTGTCTTGCTGGAGGTAGCTCCGAAAACCCACCTGGAAGGATGAGGAGCGATGATGCGATCACCGCCTCAAAATCATTTCGACATCTCCAACTCATTATCCGTAAACCAAAATAAGCCACAGCTGGACGCGCTCATCGAAATGGATAAACCCAGCGGCGGACAGATTATCCCAGACGATAATTCTAACGTTAACAAAAGCAAGCTAATGCTCGACATGTTGGAAGAAAAGAAAGCTTCCGAACAGAGATTTATTGAGGAGAAGTAGAAAAT